TCAAATGCACCATTTGGATTCCATCTAAACTGGATGTTACGGATTGCATGTGATCTAGTTCCATGCAGGGTGGGGAAGCTTCTTGAAGACTCCTGGCCTTGGCAGGAAACTTCTGAGACCTGGTGTCCTCGCGGATCTTTGGCAGCAATCGGGTCACGGTGCCAGCAAATTTGAAGGTGTATTGCCTGGGAACGGTGTGCGATGTGTGTGTTCAACGTGGGGGTTCATGTAGAACCGGATGATATAGAAGAATAAAAACAAATCGTGCACATTGACCTTTTCCAGTTAGGGTACTGTGTCAGCTTGAGGTTGGAATTACCTTTCCAACGGATCTTGCCTTGGGCATCCTCATAACGGATAGTTGTTTCCTCACAACCTTCCTTTTCTTCCTCCGTCAACGGCCCCAAGTCTAGGGATCCAATGCGGCGACTGTTTGCCCACACCCATGTTCTTTTCCAAGAGATTGAGCCATATTTCCGCATCCAAAAGGCGGTTTTGTAAGTCTTAGTGGTAAGCAATTGCAATGTTTCACATGCAACTTCAGAGTTGATGCTTTGTTTTTGTGGCATTGCAAAAAGCAAACATGGACTTTGGTCAAGACACCAGAATACCAACAGCCTCGAGCTTTTTAAGCATCCATACGTACCGAGGATGAAAGGCGAGAAAACTCCCATGAGGGTTTTCCATGAGATACGTTCCTCCTGAGAGAATAGTGATCCATATCAATATCACAGTCCTGGACCAGACAAAGACCTTTAGAGTTTAAAGGAAAGCATTGCATATGCACACACATCCATGCATGTACAATGTTAGCCACCCAATGCCATGTCCTCGAGGTCATCTTGTTGGATCGCCTCACTCCTATAAAATGTTCATTTCCCAGAGGAGTCAACAGTGTTCTCCCTGTGCTGTGCCTGTTTACTGGCACATAGGACGAACAAACGATTGCAAAGAAGGCCACGAGTTGCTCCCACTGTGAAGTCAAAAGTAGATGAATGCAAAGCCTTGGCCCCAAAAAAAGCAAGACAGGCATGGAATACCCAAAACATGTTTTTTCACATCAACGAACACAAAGAAGCACCAAAGAAAACAAGGAACACGAGGCCAGCGTTGCCGTTGATATCCATTGGTCGCCGTTTACCCTCCCTTTGACGGTGTGCACCATACCGAATATCAACAGCAGCAGTGGCGAAGCCACACCATTTGGCCAAGGTCGCGATTCGCCCTACTCCCGCATAAAACTCTAGAAACTGATATTCTTGAGGAGGCTTTGGGATATCCAGGTGCCAAACCAAGATGACCAAGAAGACAACCACCTTGGAAGGCAAAGGGCGTACAAGCGACCCAGCCCCCAAAGGAAGATTATTGTATGCACTCATTTGTTTTTGAATGAAAATCCAAGAATCCTTTGGTGTTTCCATCGCTATAAGCCTTTGGAGCAAGATATCAAATTGGGAAGGCGTCATTGCTGCAGGGCGGAGGATGCAGTGTTTGTATGACTGTTTCGCACTTTCAAGTGGACTTGAATCCAGTTGTTTGCATTTGCATAGCATGCTACTTTGCACACAGGGTTGGTGTCACACTGTTTAAAATTGAGCCCAACTTTATAGCACTTGAACATGATAACTCCAAAAGTTCAAATGCCCACCACATGAATGCTGAAAGACAACTGAAATCTTAAAATATATTTGCTGTTTTCTTCTTCAGAAGTCTCGCCAGTGTCACCTGAACTTGTAGATCCAATCCCATATTTTGCAAAGCCGACACACCCTCTCCGCACACCGTACATGTAGGAGCGGATCACCACCTGGCCAAATAGATCGATAGGGGGGGGGTTGCAATCGCATATGCATGAGGAGAAGCCACACTATATGAACTTTAAGTCACAGGAAAACTTCTTTGATCAATATGTTCTTGGACCGGAAGATTCTCAGCCAGAGTACCTTTTGTTCATGTCTCCCACCACACGATTCACCTAAAGAGTTGAGACAGGGACTGCGTATAGACATACACGCAGGTGCATGTGCATGCAAACAAATTGCACGGCATCACTGCCATAAGGCAGTGCCACAAAATGATCGCTCGCTTCAAACATTGCAGAAACCATCTCCCTGTAACAGAAACTCTTGAATAAGAAACTCTGATGGCATATATGTTTAACAAATGCTGCAATCAACTTTGATTCCAGGGATGGCTGCACTAGACACACAAATTAAAGCATGTGTTTGATAACACATATACCCGGATGTCCACCAGGTCTTTAGTTCATCGATCGATCTACGGGCTCTCTGGCTCCATCCTCAGACAAGTCTCCTCGAGGTAAACCTGGGCATGTTCTGCAACCAGCTTCGGGAAATCCAAGGCAGGGCACTTGATCTCACCCTTTTTGGCATCGGCCGGGGCATGGTTCTGCAAAGCATCCATGCAGGAATTCCACCATTCAGCCTCCAGGGCAATCGAAGGGCAGGTTGGGGATCTATACTCAAAAATATTAAAAATTAGACATTTAACATCGAGAGAGAAGGCCCAATAACACAACAGGTTTGAATCGTTTGCCTCCCAGCTGCTGCAGTTCGCGAATCCATACTGAACCAAATATTGCCGGATCTGGTCATGAAAAACATCCCGGATCGCTGTCCACCTGCTTTGCGCAGGGTTGCTTCGAGGCATTGGACGCCTTGCAAAGCTCTTGATATGCTCCTTCTCTTGCTTTTCTGGCTTCTCCTCATCAACTTCATTTGGGGTCTCGATCTTCCGCTTCAGACCCTTCGCTCCAGCAACCTCACCATCACCTTCCTCTTTGCCCTGCAGTGCGCAGGGACCCCACCCATAGACACGATTGAGTTCTTCAACCCCTTCCAGTGACAAAAGACACCAAGCAACCGGTATGTCATGATTTTCCAAACTCCCGTCCTCAGCCAAATCTGAACCACCATCGGGCAGGCTGGAAGCTTCGGTCGCACAGACCTTGGCTTTGGCTCTTGCCTTCCCTTTGGCTTTTGGCTTTGCACATGGAGTCTTCTTTCTTTGCCTCTTGGCTGGTGGTTCACCACCTTCCTCCTCCTCCTCATCGGAATCACGAATCACCTCAGGCTCTGCCTGTTTCCTGCCACGCCGACCCCCACGGCCTCGCCCACGCCCACGCCCTTTGCCTTTGCTTTGCTTCTTAGTCTCCTTCTCCACCGAAGCGTTTTTTTATCTCCCATTGATGACACCTCAACACCAGGGGAGGCTCCTCCTTCACTTCTTCCTCCTTGAAAGGTCCTTTGTCACCACCACCTTCACCTTCTCCAACCTCCTCAACTAGTATGGCCTCAGGCTCAATTGGTTCTTCCTTGGTGACCTCCTCAGGCTCCAGATGTGCTGGTACAACTTCTTCCTTGGTGACCTCCTTGGGCTCCGGA